CACTAGTACAGTGCATTAATCGCACAGTCCCGTTCGATTAACAGTGCGTTAATCGATCGGGACTGTGCGATTAACGCACTGCACTATTGTGCATGGGTGTGTACTAGTGTGCGCGCACTGTACCATGCAATCCAATTTACAACGCTTTCTGTTGCAATTCACACCTCCCACCCTCAGTTCGATTGCCGGTACCGGAATGCACTGTACCACACTGCCGTCTATTCCAGTGCGGTGTGACTTGGGTCGCAACCTAAGGACCAAGGACAAATGTGGGACCTGAGGTTACACAGGTTGAGAACCACTGCTTTAAAGCAAACTTGTGCTTTGCCTATGCAGGGCCCCCTTCCCAGCTGCACATTGTCAACTTCCCTTCACTGCTCTGTCAATTGCTACAGCCAATGGGGGCGAACAAAATATCCATTAAATCTAGTTATGGAGGATCATGTGACTTACGTCCCTTTCTTTCATGTAACTGGTACAAGAGCTCGGCGATTGTTGCATTGCTGTACCAGCAAACAGCTATATGTGCAGCTGAATCATATTTGTACTGTTTCACCTTTCAAATAATTTGCAATTGTGTTAACAGAATTAGAAATCATTCGGCAGGTAAAACAGGAAACATAGGATTTAACGGTATGTTTAGCTGTTTGCCTGGAATTCCAATTTAATTTTTAATTCTGACGAGTGTGTACCTTCAGCTTCTCAGTCAGTGCCAAGTACGTCCCACCACAGCATGCCATGTGCTTGAGAACCTCCATAAGAATGCAACCTAATGTTAATCACTATATTTAATTTTCTGCTCGTAACTCCTTTTAATATACATTATAAGCAAGGCTGGATGACCACCCACCAACTCAGAATAACGTCTCATCAAATTAAAAACACTTCTGTCAGTGAACAGCGTGTGGTTTATACATAAATAATGTTTGATAAAAATGCCAGCGTGTCTTTATCACAGCTATTGTGCATTTTTTATGTACAACCCTTGAAAGTGAAGGGGAGCTTTAAAAATGTTTATTTTACCCGAGTATAAATCGCTGAAGTGTTTCTATATTTTCTGCACTGTGTGTTCCTCTGGGATACCGTTTTGACTCATATGTTCCTCCATATAAACTGAAAACATCATGTACCAAAAGATTTGTCTAATGATTAGAGGCGAAGTCTTATGAAAAATCTATTTACATCTAAACCGGTCACATTACATAACCACAAAACACTTTCAGGAAAACAGCTGTCCTATGCTTGAGACACCAATACTTGCCTCCAATAGTAAAACGTGATATTAAAGTCAAAATGTTTTTGAGCTGTTTCCAGTGCTGATGAAATCACTGACAATGGATGCTGCAGCTTGATGTTTAAATGTTTTAGCTTCCTGCAGAATCAGCTGGTCCCCTGAGCACTGTCCCTGATATCCTGTTCTTGGGTGGCTCCTTTCCCTTACAGGGTCCTATGGAGCCAACCTTGTGTGTTGCTAGTAAGCTGTGTGTGTCTCCACAAGCTCATAATCAGATCAGGGCAAGCCACCCCACTTCTCCCTGCTCCACCTTCCTCCATTCTCCATGCTAGCAGATGGACAGCTGCTTGAGCTATCCCTTGTGTTTTTGCACTGGACAGGCAGTTCAGTTAAGGGAATGATTGGAAGTAGGCATGTAAGCTGTGGAAAAATGTGGTTTGTTTGGATAGTTCATTAATTCGGATCCGAAATTCAATTCGCTTCAGGTTCGGTTTAGGTTTCGGATTCGGACTAAATCCGAATTTCGTTCGTTTCAGATGTGTTTAGGAATATTTGTTGCGAGTAAAACAGAAGACCATATACAGATATTAATACTACAGCTGAATATCCTAGACCCGAATGGCATTCGAGATCCGAATTTCCGAATTGCATTCAGGAGCTCCCAAATGCCATTTGGGTCTAGGAGATCATTTTTGAACGAAATTCGGTTTCGGACACATTCGGATGTAATGGGATTCGTAAATTTAGATGTGTCTGAATTTCGGAAATTCCATCCGAATTTTGATTCGAAACTAAAAGAATCGCACATGTCTTTGCTGGGTAATGTATGTTTGCAAAAAAACTTGAGAGTGTAATACTACTTTAAGCCTTAGGGATCAGTGAGATGGGGAGATTTCAGTGAAAATCAGAACATTTTTGACCAACATTTACAGTATTTCAGTAAAATGCATTGGAGTCAATGAGGAAGGTTAAATTAAAGGAGAACTATGGGGTTAAGGCTTTTCCCCATAGTTCTCCTTAGGTCCTCCCGTCACCCTAGGCTCAGCTGTAGCTCGCGGTATACTGAGACGCCACAGTATACCGCAAGCTGCTGCTCGCGGTATACTGAAAGGCCTACGCTGAAGCGGATCCCGACAATTATGTCTGGATCCGCCCAGCTGCTTGATTGACAGCTGGCTCTGCCTATCTAGAGGCAGAGCCAGCTGTACCCGCCCCCTCCCCCGTCTGTTCCGCCAGTCAGCGCTGGTGGATCGGAGCGGGGAGGGGGGAATCCAGCCCCTCCCCTGCCACGGCAGAGAGCCGTGACAGGATCGAGAGGTGAGCGAACGCCGGTATGTGTTCGCTCCCCTCCCGATCTACTAAGCCGACCTGTGACAGTCTCATTGTCACAGGTCGGCTAGAACTATGAGGTGAGTGAAAAGCACTCACCTCATAGTTCTCCTTTAAGAATATATAAACCCAAGAACAAAAATGTAATATAATGAAGATATATTAGATGTGGTGGCTGCACAGTTTTTAGGCGATTTGATCTTTACAAAAATGTTGTGCCCTTGTACTCCATGTAAGGTGACTTGGCAGCAAAAGGCCTTTTTCAGATGGGCAGTCCGATCAGGTCCGCCTGTCAGTTTTTCAGGTGGACCCGATCAGATGCCCAATGTAAGTCTATGGGCAGCTAGATCTAAATGGACGGGTGTCTGTTTACATCTAGTTGCCCCCAGCTCCGGCCAGGTCTGGAAAAAGAGACAGAACAGTGTTTCGTTTTGCCGGACCTTATCATGCCGGATCGGGTGTAATCTGATGTAAACGGAAACGTGTCCATTTACATCTGTTTCTCCAAAGACCGACATGGGGTCCGGTCATTTTAGTTTTTTCCTTCATCGCAGGACAGTCATCGCAGCAGTGACATCACTGGTAAGTCAGCGTTGTTCCTCTAGAACAGGTAGCGTGTTATTGAAAGGATCACCAGTTGAAAATAAAGGAATGCAGCCACCTCATCTAAGGACTGGCAAGCTGCAATGTATCATATCTTCATCATAGGTTTAAATACGCTTTATGGCAGTTTTTCATTTGTAACGACCGGTTGGTTATGACTGGACTCTCAACTGCGGAGTGCACTAGTGACTTGACAGGGTTCAGATATGATTCCTTCCTTCACACTCCATTTAGTGGTTGATGGAGGGTTAGGAATCAGTAATCATCATTCCCTGCTGCTTAACAACTTATATGTATGGTCTGAGCAGATGAGTAAGTGTGGGTGCATACACCATGCGTCTCTACTTAATCCCGCATAAGTTAAGGTGACCCGTGAGCTGCGGATCCCCCCTGTCACCCCTGGTTCCACAGCGCTGCAGACCTGCAGTGCCACTGAGATCGCAACCCACAGTTCACACAACAGCACTACAGCGGTTCTAATTAAACTCAGGGGTTTTGTTAAGGTTATTAGCTATTTAACTCCCAGTTCCAGGATCAATATTATTAGTACATGTATTTAGCTCTAGCAGTGATATCAGCAGTGAAGTGGTTAATAGTCAGCTGTAGCATAAGTGATAGCAGAGACACAGGCTGTGATAGCTCTTCCTTTGAAAAGTGAAGTCCACAAGCTAAGAAACACACATTATATGCACTCCAGACTTAGTGTTCAGAGATATGTCAGCAAACATCCAGATTGCTATCTCATTGCCATAGGCTACTTGCGCTTTTGGGGAGTCTCTCGTGGGTCCTTTAGGTGCAATGACTGCTTGGATCTCTCCTGGTCTTTGTTCAGCGTGCACCGTTTACAACGGTCGGACGCTGAACAAACCTTCCTGCTTCCTTAAATCCCTCCTCGCCGAGCGCGGCGGGGAGGAGCTGGGTCCCGTCCATGACGGAGCTGAAGGGGCGGAGCTGGCTGCCGTCCAGGACGGCCCTGAAGGGGCGGAGCTGGCTGCCGTTCTGAACGGCCCTGAAGGGGAGGAGCTAACGGCCGAGCTGGCCGTGATTGGCCCCGCCAGACAGCGCTGGACCGAGGACGGGTAAGTCTGTTACATCAGTAGACAGTGGACTGTAAACATCTTCTGGGGTTTATGGAAGCTCATTTGAACTATCCTGGCCCTGGTCTTGTGAAAAAACTGCACAATTATAATGCACAGCGATGCACTTTACAATTGTGCTTAGCACTTCATGGAGCAATATTCTTTTAATAAAAGAGCAAGAGAGAAAAAAGCCAGGGAGAGAGCCTACTCAAGTGACGGTTAAAGTTACATGACTACACATGACTAGCCTCCTCTCCAGTTGTGGGGATCTCTCTATTGAATTAAAGCATATGTCCAGCCATTTTTTTTTTTTGATAGAGTGGGAAAGGATTACATCCCCAATTAGGTTAAACTGGAAAAAAAGTTTTGTGTTTGGCACACACTTTAAGACTAACGTTGCAGTATAGAGATTGGAGCAAATAGCGATATCCGCTCTCCATTATAATTGTCCCCTTTGGAGTTCACAGCAACTTCTAGTTTTTAAAACAGTACGATGCTTTCAGCTAAATTGGAGCACACGTTAAAGATCCTCTAGAACTATCTAAGGTTTCTGAAATTTGGGAAGAACATCTTGTCTCCCATTAAAAAGATTTATAATGTGCATAACCTGAGGCACTTAACATTTACAGCTAACAGAGGAAGTGGCTTTAATAAAGCAGGCGTACATAGTAATACATTACCCTCTGACTTCATAAACTGTCACTTTTGAAAACGATGGAATATTCTTGACAGTCTGCTCACTTTAAGTTACTTACCATGGCCGTCGTCCAAGAAATCAGTGATGGTGGCCGAGGTGCACTTTGACCATGGTTTGGAGGCATCGATGCTCGTCAGGACGGATGACATCAGACGTTTATCTTCAAGGGTGCCAAAGTTCTCCTCGCAGAATTTAGAATCGTCATGGGAAAGTCCAAGGAGATGTCCTGCAAATGGAGAAAACATATGGATGGAATGTATTACAAGGAATGGTATAAATGCTGTGGTAAGGTCGTCATCTGCAGACATTTTCCATACAGACTGTGGAAAAACTGGTTACAAGAATCCGAATGTATACACGCAAATATTTTCTGCTTATTTAATGTATGTTGAGAATGCATCCATCTACATATCTGTCTGCTATTTCTCTTTTTTATATCTTTTGTAGTATAACAATGATGAGGCATGAAAGGCTGTGTTTGTGTTTAATACACTAGTCCACCCTATCTTAGTTAGAAATGGAGTCAGGCAGAGTTGGCCACTGGCATCTTAATTACCCCTGGCATAGGAGTTGAATCTGACTTAATGGCAGTCAATCAATTGCTCGGTACATCTGGTCACCAAGAATTTGTTTCAGATCAATGCCTTAGGTGGCAGTTTTAGTTTTTGGTGGCATACTGCATTTTGTGTATTGGTAAAAGAGAAGCCATACAATTCTATGGTCAAACAATTCTATGACTTAACACTCATCATATTACACAAGGACTGTCCTGATTTCAGCTTAAATGCACCTAAAATATTCTCTACATCTTTCACTAGACAAATGGTGTTGAATTCACAACCGTGTCAAATGGCAAGTTTGATGACTGCACACTTCAGTGTTTGAAGTCACTTAAAGCTGAAGTTTATTCGACTTATATGTTGCCTTCTCTGGTTCCTCCTTCCCCCCATCCCTATCAACATGCTAATAAAACGTTAAATAAAACCTTTCTGTTTTCGATGACCCAGTGATATAATCGCAGGGGTGACATCCGCGTGGCAATCGCAGAAAAAAAGTACAATCCCTTTTTTTTTGCGATACACGCGCGCGGCTGTTTTGTTGTGTTCGGAAGCACGGGTGGAATCGCGGCAGGAAACTGCTCAATCCGCCCGACATGACTGTGTTGGATTGCACGAACCACAGCGCGATCGGTTCGATCCTCAGCACGATTGGTTCACACCTTGGCGACTCCTGACCGCGGGGCAATCCGTGCAGAATCGTGCACGATTGCCACGCGGTGAGTTGTCGCCTAGGTGTGAACGTAGCCTTAGACTGGTCCCTGGCAGGCCTATCCCCCTCCGCTGCAATAGTCTAAGGTCCATGAGTCATCACATCCAATACAATGTATAGGACATGAGGGACATACCTTTGCTGGAGCGGAGAAGGAGACAGGCTGGAGGGAGAGCTGTGACAGCCGGCCGCCTTGGAGAATCAGGTGAGTATACTCACTGATATGCAACAAAAGATGAAAACAGGTAAAAAATAGTGTAATTTTAAGAAAAGGGCATTTGGTTATGATACACAGTACTTTAGTAAGATAAAAGGCAAACACGTTTGGGTTTACATCTAGTTTAATAGTAATGTAGAATGGTAGCACCAGTAAGTGTTGCCTGCATTGCACTGCCTGCAGTATAAATCACATTTCTTAAGAAATGTCACATTCTAAAGTTCCAACATAGTTACACAATACTCAAAGTGTATGTATGAGTGTGTACATGGCTGTTATATGAAAAGAAAGGCGGGAGAGGATTGCGACTAGTCAAGTCATAATCAGTGGACTGCGACAACACCAAGGGAATCTATGCCAAGTGACCTGCACATTTCTCCAATACCCCCCGATATTCTGTTTCAATACTGACAGATCCTCTTTAAGCCCAGCTTTTCTTCTACAAATCAGGAGCACCGTTACGGGATTAACTTTGTCCTAAACTTTAATACTTTGACATACTCCATTTATTTCTCAAAGAGCCTCTGTAGCCATGAAAGCACAACAGAGAAAATGTGATCTTTGCTTTCATAAACTATTAAACTAGCCGTGAAGTAGCAAACTAAATATAAAAAAATAAGTAAACCGCATCTTAAAGCGTCAATGTATTGCAGGTGTTCTATTCAGTATTTAATTAAACAACCAACTCAAAGCACTAATTGCCTCGAATGTATTCCCCCGGTAAAAGTTATGTAATTGCTTCTTGTCACCTTCTATTTTTCCATGGTACAGAAAGCCAACATTAACACGACTTTACTAGAAATTTCACAGTGTGTATCAAGTGGGGTGTAGATTACATTTTATAGACTTAAGAATTTAAGAAGCTTAATTTAAGAAACACACACAGAGTTCCCCTTCTGTGTTTCTTAAGGTGTAAAATTCTGCGAAATGTTTGAACTTTAAAATATAAGCTCAGTCTTCTTGGTTTTGTAGGCTTATTTAAGGAGGAACTCTGATATAAACAAACTCTTTTGCAGTTTCCATTAGCAGAGCTGTTTAGATGTCTAATGCTGGCTATATGCATTGCAATTTTCAGGCAATTTCAACCACTCTGAAAATGACGGATACTTTCTGTCCTGGAAGCAATTGTGACTGTTGGTAGTGATTTATTTTGACGATCTAAAGCTATTTGAAACTGATTGAAAGTGCTTGGAAATGTATGCCCATTAACGTTCACTTAATTACCCTACCTGTCTTTGCACTCACCTTTCCTTCATTTCCCCGTTGACCTATTCAGCTATTGGAGCAAAAGAAAAAAAGCTGTGTGCAAGCACCAGAACCTACACAGGGTTAACGCTCTATTCCACCCCACAATTCCATTTGTAGTGGAGAGCAGGCAATGCACAAATACATACTGCCCACGGTCATACCCTCTCTACACCCCTCTGACACAAATACTGCTCAATGTCATACCCTGAGCACTTGCTTTATGCAAATATTGTCCATAGTCATACCCTTCGCGCTCATCTCCAACAAATATTGTCCACCGTCATGTCCTCCACACTCCTCTCCTGCAAATACTTCCTACCATCATACCCTCCAAACTTTTCTCACGTAAATGCTGCCCACCATCCTTCCCGCTAAAATCCTCTCTTGCAAATACTGGCCACCAACATACTATCCGCACTCCTCTCCTGCAAATACTGCCCACTGGCAAACCAACCTTATTCATCTCCCACAAAAACTGCCCACTGTCATACCCTTCACAATCCTTCCCTGCAAATACTGCCCACCGATATACCCTACACACTCCTCTACCACAAATACTGTCCACTGTCATACCCTATACACTGCTCTGTTGTAAATACAGACCACCGTCATACCCTCTGCACTCTTCTGCTTCAAATAGTTTTCACCATCATACCCTGTGCAGTCCTCTCCCACAAATACTGCCCATTGTCATACCCTCCTCACTCCTTTCCTGCAAATACTGCCCACCACCACACCCTCTGCACTTTTCTTCTGCACAAACTGCCTACAGTAATACCCTGTGCACAGCTATTCACATGCTGCCCACCATCATACACTCATTACTCCTCTTCTACCCATACCGCCCTCAGGCTTAGGAAGGGGAATGTCCCCGAAACACATCCCTAGCAACCAGGCTACGTCCATCTGATGTGGCAATAGGCAGAACAGCTGACAAAATCCAGAGGGGAAGGAAGTTGTGTTACGGTGAGACGTTTACAAGACTGAGGCATCTAATTTGTTATACTTCACCCGGTCAGGGTTGTATGCTGGTGGCCACAAGCTGCACCATGGCTATTCAGCATGTAGAGCTAAGTGACAGTCATCACTTATGAGCACATTCATGTTTTCATCCTCTTTATTAAACAAAGCCTAACACTATGCCTATGCACTTTGTACTTCCTTTGTACGTTATTTTATAAAGACTGTCTCATGCTGAAATAAAAAGTTCCCATATAAGTTCTATGAACTATAAGGTACAGAATTTATAACATTGAGTATTTTGACAGGTCTCAGAACAGTTTGTGTTACTAAATGGATAATAATTCCTGCAGCTGACAAAATCATATTAGCTGTAAAAACACACATCCAGGAAATAGAGCACTCAAAACACTGCGTTAGTTGACCGGTCTCCATGAAGCAACATGCTTCGAAAATTACTGTAATATGTTTTATTATCCTTATGTAATTCTGGTGACTGACATTGCCCAACCGTGACATCATTACAAGGAGTCTGTGGATAGAGCAGTAAGCCTGGTATGTCAAGCATCTGAAGAACTGGTGATTTGTGATGGTTGAGTAGAATGGATATCACTTATGATGGCCCAGTGGGGAAAAAGAGGAAATCTGGACAGGAATGGCTAAATAGCACTGACATAAGTTTTCATCCAATTGCAAGCAATTAGACTCAGAGGCTTTCTCTGGGAGCTGTATGCCGTAACTGGATGGTGTCACGATTGAATAACCTTGCAAAGCAAACTGTACATTCACCTAATAGGATAATCGAAAGGCAAAGAAAATATTGGGATGATGTTGGTGTCCCGAGGATTTTTTTGTATCCATTAAAAAACAAGATGATATATTAACAAATTACCTAAGGATGGTCATAATTATCACATAGACATGATGAGATATAGCAAATTGACAAAGCTGGCTTCACGCAAATGTTTTTTGCATTGCACCTGACCTAAATTCATACTTTTTGGCTTTGGTTTGAGTGGGAAAAAAAGTTGAATTCTTATCTGCATACCTGTTTGAGAGATTTTATTTCACTTCATGTCTTGTTGACCACACAGGAATTACACAAATCAGGTGTTAACTTTTGGCCTTACATATTGCATGCTTGTTCTAGGTCAGTGACTCAGAAGTACTGAATATAGAGGATCACAGCCCCATCCCGGCAATCAGAATATCCCAGCTATGGGGACTCATTCTCTTATAGTGGGTTTACCTAAAAGTGGATGTGGACTCAAAAAAGGAAGATTTGCTGAGTCAAGGAAACATCTAAGATAAATAAGATAAACAAATAAGATAAACAAAAAGGTATCTTATTTGTGTATCATTTGGCTGAAGATCCTGAAATCATCTCTGAATTGGTGCTGACACTGTCCTTCCTTCTGGAGGGTGGCTACTTTTGTTCCCCATGGTGCCTGTGTGTGTTGTAAAGTAGACACTGCTCCAAGCTCGCTCCCGTAAAGGACTACAATCTCATGTTTAGTTTGCAAATTTGTATT